ATATATATATATATATATATATATATATATATTAATACTAAAATAAACTACTACTTACTACTTGTACTACTATTGCTACTTCTCTGTTTTTCACTTATCGCGGGTCTTCAGGGTATGCATCCCCCGAACTAAACGAGGGACTACTGTATACTTTAGTCTTTGGGTAGCTTTAAATGTACATGCTGAAAGTTGTAGGTGTTTGTGGATAATTGTTTTAACAAGATTAATGTTGAATTTGGCATCCCTGATGTCAGGTGTACCTCTCTGAGAAACATCAGAGACAATGAGGAGAAAGATTCGGCTTTCAGAGGAATTTGCACCATGATCAGTGTAAATCCAGGAGGCGTGGTGCAGGTGAGCTCCAGCTGTGCTCATGAGGATGTCAATAAGTGTTGAAGTTGAACTGCTGCCTCACGTCTCTTCTTTGGAACAGGACTTTATATTCTTCTGTGACGCAGTGGCCTCCTGGGTAAACCCAAAGGATGATCTCAGAGACATGTTCTACAAGGTAAAACTACTGAACAGTTGCAAAAACACTTATCAGCAAAGTGTGAGGTGACTCACAACTGGCTCCACACTCCAATCATCTAAGGCAGGAAAAGCAGTTCTTTCATTTTGACACTAATAATAACCTTTCTATGTGTACAATGTGGTTTTGAAGTGGGTTCTTCTTTAAGCCAGTTCTTCACTGGGCTGTGACTGTTGGAGACATGCTGACAAACTGCATTCCAGAGGGAGTCTCCAAAATGTCTTGAAGGGTTTCCAGGGGTTCTTGGTATTTTTTTCTTCAACATTAAAAGTTCAGTTTTATTGCCAGAAAAATCTTGCAATTTTGAAATAAAAAAAAAAAACCCTGAAAAAACCATTTTAATACTTAATCTAGAGGAAAAAATAAGAAGAAAGAAGCTGCATTGTTTATTTTTTTAAAACTCTTGTGAGCAGTTTGCCGTGTCCTGGATGACTGAGAAGAATCTAGCCCAGAAACTGAACCCCACTGTTAGAGTTGCATTCAGGCCCAACAAATCCAACCCGGCCCCAGCCCATAGCCATCATCTCTGAACCCCACCCGACCCGACGAATTAACAGTAATTACAGGTCCGAACCTGAACACCCCCCCCCCCCCCCCCCAGACATTTTTAATTAAGCTTTGACTGCTTATCCAGTTACTAACGGTCGGCGGATGCACGCGACTAAGGGGGCAGAAGATCGGTGCTGAGGGTGTGTTTGTCCTTTCATGGCTGTCAAAGCTCATTAAATCTCTGCTTCTGCTGCATTCTGCATGATTCAGACACGGACCCTGCATGCGGACATGTCGAATATTTTGGGTTCTCACCTGTTTGGGTCGGCGGCCACGCACGTCCACTGAGTGCAGCGGCTGAATGAACGTCCGTTTCATATTAATTGGCTTCATTCGTGCTGGTTGCTTATTTCTGGTCTATCTGAAGCTTAACTGAACTTTTTACCTCTTTCAACTGGCCGGTCAGCGTGCTGTCAAAAGGCTGCCTGCGCCTGGTAAGCCATGTTGCCGCTGACGCAATCAAAAGCCAGACACCGGCCCAGCCCGCACATTATTATGGCCCGGCCCTAATCTGGGTCGGGCCGGGCTCCGGGTTTGGGTTAGAAATGACAGCTCTACCCACTGCTCCTAAAATGATTTTGTTTAATTTGTTATTAGGCTGTTATTATTGTCTCTAAAGGTTACAGGTGCACATTGACTGGGTTCATACATCATGCAATGCTGAACAAGTTTTTCAGTCCCTCACAAGAAGTCGCTAACACACACCGAGTGTTTACGTCTACATACTGTCAGAATCAGGCTGCAGTGTTTGTTTTTCTGTAGAAGAAGAATGCAAGTTATTTTCAACAGCTTCACGTTGACAGGCATTTCTTTTTAGGAACTCAGTATTTGAGACTCAAGACTGGAACAAGTGATGTGAGTTGTGCTGCAGTGGGAGTAATAAAGCACTCAGAGAGCTGGTTCAGCTAAAGTATTAGCTGTTATTTTGTAGTTGACCTAGTAGAAGATCTCCCATAACCCTCAGACACAAAAATACCAACAAATGAAACAAACACTCCTAAGTTCAGGTGCACAACACGGTTCACTTCCATAGGATTAAGTTTTGATAGACTTTTCTTTTTTCAGCATTGTGACTTTTTTCTGTCAGTCTTTATTAAAAAAACAAACTCCTCGTGTAATTTTTTCTCCCTAGTGGCCCTAATACATTGTCATACTGTGCATGATTTGCACTTGCAAAATAAAACAGTTTTTATGGGAGAACAAAATGCAGTGGTGCAGCTTTCCTCCCTCAGTTATGACAGCGGCGTCACCGTTTGACAGGTGCACCACCCCAATCCAACTCCAGCTGCCAAACATGGGTAGAAAGAGGACCAAGGTGACTCAACGACACCATATGCACTGCCTGGATTACAGTTTTACAAGCCCAGGCACACAAGTCGGCCGTGGTTTTCCAAAACTCTCCTTGTGACCTGGCCACAGATATTTAGAATTCAATGAGACTGCAGTAGAAAATGTGTTTTTCCCTCACAGTTTTAGGTAACCACATGTTCTCCAACAGTTGCAGCCCAGTGAGATATCATCTTGAAGAAGTTGGGGTGAATCTTTCTTGCTCTTTATTTACAGATCCTTCATGGGTTCAAGAACCAGGTGGGAGAAGAGAACTGGAGGCGCTTCTCAGACCAGTTCCCAACGCCGCTGAAGGAACGGCTGGCAACCTTTTATGGGGTGTAGAGCTTTCCATGCACCACGCCTCATCATGGGGTCAGTTTCCTTCACAAAACACTGTTCAGCATTTCATAATAAAGAAATAAGTTCTGCATCCTGAAGTGGCTTGTCCTCCTTTGTACAGGTCCTTCACTGTGGGAAACATTACAGGGAACCATCCCAGGGAACATGCTACCCTTTACTGGGGGGAAGGGAAAGGGTGCAGACCCCTCCCCGACTGAACTGGGGTCGACGGGGTGCATGGGGAGGGAGGGAGGTGGTGGTAGCTGCAGTTCTCGGTGCCCGTCTGCACAAGCAGAAGGGGAGAAGAGTTCAAGCTCATCATGGGAGGAACATCCACCCAGTGTCATCTCACACCAACTTCATGCAAACCTTTTTCTTTTCATTCACACATTTTACTTTCTGGACTACTGAAGAGGACTTTTAGCAGTCTTTACAGTATTTTGTAAAAGATTATTTTTGTGTCTGTTGTATTAGGAGAAAAGTAAAATCAGGGCAGAAATCCATTTATTGAACTTATAAAGAACTTTAGGAGTAAAGTTGGTCTCGTCAGGATGTATTCTAGCTTAAAGTTAAGAATTAGCAGCTAATGTTTTATATTAGATCCAACCCTGGAAAGCTGCATATCATTCAAAACAAGTGTCCTGTAAAGGTTTCTAATGATTTTAGAGTTTGACTACATAAGCAGTGCAGATGTTCATGATGTCACCAGAAAAAGCTTAAATTCCAGCAGCTTTTCTGTTTAGAACAACAACAAGCTAAAGTAGCATGCTTATGTTGATGTGGGAAGCTGTTGAACGTCAGTGCTGAGTGGTGACAGCTGTCATTGCCATTCAATAAGTGTAAAATGTATTTACAGTACTTTTGTTTCCTTTGCCAGAGAATGACAGCAGCCTTCTGTAATGTAGCATGATGGGGTTTACTCTGAGTTAGGCTGTGATGTAACGTTGGAGTGACTCTTTGTTTGTGCTGTGAATGTAACATGGACATTCATCGCTGAGCATATCACATATTTAGATGCTTCATTTTGATCTCAGTTAGAGCCTTCTCAAGGAGGAATGAAGGAGAACGTGCAGGATAGCAAAGTGTGTGCAGGTCTTTTTTTTTGTTTGTTTGAGGACTTAACGCAACAATGACACCAAACCTGTCTGATTATTAGTTTATTTGTGACTTCTTGCTGTTCAATCAATCAAATCAATGTTCAAGTGTTGATTTCTTCTGTGTACTGAGATTTTGTTCCTGGTTGTTCGGTTTCCTGTGCTCAAAGCATGATCCTAAGATTGACTGTGTAATGTTGTGGGTGTCACCTCTTGCATGTTGGTGGCCCCTTACATCCCAACACTTAGTGGGACGAGGGTTGTGGGAGGGACGGGGGCTTCAGTTCAAACTTTGATGTATTGCCACACTGAGACATGGACAATTTAGCATAAACTCTGCTGGCGTGTGCTCTTCCTGAACTTTCTCCCCATCAATGTGAAAAAACTGTAAAAGTAAAAGAATGTTATTGTGTTTGCTTGTTTAGCGCTGTTTTTTATATATGTATAAAATATATGTATATTGTTTTTTCAAGTATCTAACTGTTTAAGTTACAGCCTGAATGTATTCCATGGTGAGGTGAGAAGTTTTTGTTGTTTTGTGTTTTTACGCCCAGCCAGTTGTTTGTTTGTTTGTTTCTCTGCTGGTCAGAGTAAAAGCTGCAGTATTTAATTCTTTTGACTGCACATGACGTGCACCTGAAATGAACGTGGACAAGTGATGCAGCCAAACCCCTTACATCCATGCTGATAGATAATTGCTGCTAATTCTTTTTTAATTGATTGCAATAAGCATCTTGATGCAATTGGAAGCAGTAAAAGTAGTTTTAAGGTTCAGATGAGCTCAGATTTGGTCTGTTAACATTTAATGAAGTCAAATACAAGATGTGTAGCATCATGGAACACAGAGGCCATCGTTTTGTGTTTTACAGCCATGTCCAGCACATTCCAGCTGCTCGGTGAGCAAACGGAGCAGTCCTGTGTTTCACCAAAACACTTCAGGCCTAAAACCCGACACACTAATGTCTGTTGTTACTGTGACGTTTCTCCACTTGAATATGTGTTAACCTCAGGTTGGTTTTGTTCCACTGTTACTTGTTTTATTATTGCCTCCATGTGTGTTCACCTTTATACACGCCCCTCAACATTTAACAAATAGTAAAAAGTATTCTCTTGATGTGAGATATGATGCCATAAGATGTCAGATTATTAAAATAAATCAGGAGGAATAAACGATTGGGAAGTGGGAACTTCCACGTACAGACTTGAGCTAACACACAACTCCATGTGAGCAAATAATCAGACTGTTTTACAATAGATATCCAGTATACTGTATCAAAGCCAACCATTCATGCTAAATTAAAAAGCAGAGAAGCAGGTGTTCAAAATCAACAAATGTTTGCAAGTACAACTTTGACTTTCTATAAAGCTTTAAGGAGAATTTGTATTTTTAAGGCACCTACTGAGAGTTGAGAATGTTTGGTCACAGAACTCCTGTAGTCTGTAAATTAATTAGCCTCGATTACATTATCTGCCTTCATCTCTTTTGCTATATGAAAAAGTAAAACTATCATTTTGATAGGCGTGGTTTAATTTTTTTTAATAAGCTGCTGAATAAAAAAAAAAAAAAACTTGGGGCCACCAAATATTTTGGATCATGCAAAGACTCTATATTGTAATGTAGTAATTTTGTAATATTTGTAAGATGACATAGTGGGTGTGACTGAGTACCATTGCTTAAATCTGTACATTGTTCCAATAAATTGTTTACATTAATATATAACTTTGTCTTGTTTATTAGGTTTAATAAATCATTTACTAGCTATTAACGTAAAAAACACAAATGTGTAAAATAACAGCATAGTTATAACTTTGGTGCAGGTGATTTACAAATGATAATGGCTTGATTAAAAAATATAGCAAAGATGATTAATATCCATCCCGATGGATGTCTAAAACTAAGAATGAAAACCACAGTGAAGTAAGTTTTAGGTTGGATGTTGGATATTCGAACTCCACGGAGTGAGCGGTGTCTTCCTCTCGTTCGACCCGATGCAGACCGTCTGATTTCGGTCAGTGGCCCTCAGTCTGCTCCCTCCTCCGACTCGGAGTGCTTCTCAAAGGAACCGTCAATAAAGTACCGGACTAAACACTTGAAAAACAAAAATTAATAGTTCTATTTCGTATAGGCTTCGCCTTTTAAGGCTGTCGCTGATGGGTTTCATCCTGTCGCACGCAGCACTAAAAACTTTAGTCCACGCCCACCTGCTGTGTGGGCCTCACCCGGTCCATATAAATTACGGTGAGAGCGGGTAATCGGCTCCCATTTTTCTTCAGCAAGCAACCAGTGTGGAATTGTGGAAATGGAAAACATTAATACCAGTTTATTTTGTTCAATTTTATTTTATTTTATTTCATTTTCAATTTTATTATCATCACTCTTATTATTCATTTACCTTATATCACACTCTGTTAAAGCTTATCTAACTGTAGCAGTTACATCTCTTCAACATCAGTGTGTGAATTCAAAAAGCGTTCAATACAAAAGTGTGTGAAGCTTTTTAACTTCCGTTTCTCACAGACTGCCAGTACGGAACCCGAGAACCAGTCACTGACCACAAATGTACGGTCTGTTTTTACTCTGATAAGATTGCAAATGAGCGCCTGTTATGTCAAAACATGTTACGTGTGAAGGTGTATAAATGAAGCCGTACTGCTCATGTTTTTTGAGAACACACAACTCACTGAGCTGCGTTTTCGTTTCATGTGTTCTCCCTTCTGCAGAAGAGAAAAAAACTTTGCTATGTGTTTTTAACAAAAGTTATCAATCTTCTAAATTTTATTGAACAACAAGTTTGATAAAACTCCACAATTTGGCGTCACAAATAGGATTCTTCGTTGGTCCGTCCGCTCGGTGGACCCAGGATGGACCAGATCCGGATCGCAGGATTCTTCCTCTAAACCTCCCGTAGGACATTAAGAGTGAGAGGACGTTCTGGTTTTCCATCGAGAGGATTCGACCTCGACAAAATTCAAACCAGACTGAGACAACAAAAAACAACTACTTAAAATAAACTGAAAAACTTTTTAATTTATAACAAAGTAGGTTTTAAAAATAAAACGGAGGTAGATTTTGTATAAAATCGAGGTAGGTTCTTGATAAGGGACTGAGAGATAAATAGTGGATAATTAAACAAGGAAGCACCAGGAAAATTAAACAAAAATGGGTGCAGGGAAATGCAAAGAAGAGGATTATAGTCCTTGCGGTCCAGAGGTAGACCATATGCGTAGATTACATGGAGATTTGTGTCTGTTTTATTTCACAGTGACATTCTAAATTTAATTTTCCAAGAAATGGTTCTTTTGACCCCGAAGAAATTCAAAAATTAGAAGAACAGTTGTTGAAACAAAAACAAAAAATGTGTAATATGAAGAAAATACCACAGGACATGTTTTTTGCAATGCACAATCATGAGCAAGCGTTTAAATTATGGAAAAACCAGTCCAAATCCCTAACAAAAAAACAGCGTCTAAAATGTACCAAATGACTCAAAAAAGTTGGAAAGGCAACCAAAATTGGCTCTAAAAAATGAGACAATGACAAATTCACAAAAAACATCAGAAACTCAGGACAAATTAAACGTGTATTTCTCTTCTTTTCTCTGTCAACATAAACCAGAGTCCTGTGGACCTCTGTCTTCCATGGCACCGCTGTACCCCTCTCTGGCTGGTTTCACTGACCCACCATTGTACGCCCCACCTGTAACAGCAAAGAAAAAGAAGGAAATATCACAAAACCTACCCATTAAAGGTCAAGCTCAGCTGCTCCCACCACCAAAACCCACTTGGGCCCTTGACTCTGATGATGATTTTCAAGGATGTGCACCAGCACCTGATTCAGAGGAAGAAGATGATGAAACCTCACCAGTGTCCTCGCTGAAGACCCCAGCTGATACTAAAGGTCCTGTCACT